GCTTAAAATGAACTCAGTACAGATGCCCAGGAGGGAAGAAATGGGCATATCCTACACACAGTGTCCTGGCCTCTTGATAGGCCACTCACTTTCCAGGCAGAGGTCCAGAGAAGGTAATCTGGCAAGCGAATCCTAACATACATTATGGGGAGCCTAACGAAAAGCATGGTTAAAAATGAAACTAACAGCTCAGAGAAACAATTTATTCAGAACAAAACAGGGTGTAGACTTTCACCTTCCTATACACGGTAGTGAATGACTAACAACGAATTTTGCATAAATACAGAGGATCAGTCTTTTCAAAGCAATGGGGTTACTGAAGTGAGTTCACCGTTACAAAAAAGGGTTCACAATCTTACCCAAGGTACTTAGTTTGTTTGGGATAGGAGCTTCTGTCTTTATTCACATTGAGATGGAAAGTAACATAACCTGATAAACCTAATTCTAGTTACTGAAATACACACTTTGCTCCTTTTAGTTAGATGATGGAGTCATCATCATTTTTGCGTAAAACGCGAACACATGTGTGAGTAGGCTGTGCGTAGACATCCTCTCCCAAATCCAGCTGTGCCAATGACAGAGGTTACTGACTCCAACGACTCGTCATCCTCCTCCAGCTGCAAACTGTCAGTGCAAAGATCTGCAGAAGGAGTTGTTCGTGCTCCTTAACTTGCTTAGGTTGAAAAGCAGCCTGACTAACTTAGCCCACGTCCCTAAACTGCCTCAGCTAGCCTTGCTTGGCTTGATCGGAACTAGGGAGCCCTGATACGAGCTGATCCATCAGCACGTTGGTGAGATGGTGACGGCTGAACGAGCGAGCGCTGGCAAGCAAGTGCAGGCAGTGACCTGTTCCACCGAGGCAGCTGGATGGGGGGACGGCTGGCCGTGACTGCTGGCCCTCTGCACACAGGTAGCAGCAAAATAGAAGGCTGGCAGGAATTGATTCCTTCAGATTAATGGTTTTACAAGCCATGGAGATAGGAGTTATATTACAGCAGAAGTTAACGATAATGATGTGATCACCAGTCAAGACCAAACGCACTGAAATAGCACGTAGTGGTACTAATGAAATCCTTCAAAGCCTTATTAGCTGAAAAGATGAAAATGATTTTCATTCAGGAGGAAGGGACACTTTTTTTTTAAAATTATAATATAGGTAATGTTTTCTGCATTTAATTTGCACAGCATTTTCATGGGCAAAACATTCATTTTATATATATGTGTATGTAAATATATATAAAATAAATGTAAATATACACTGCAGAGTACAAACTTTTAAAGTAAGGATGTCCTTCAGGCTTAGGCGATTATACTGCTGCTGAGTTTTTGCTATACTCCAGTGGCATTCTGCTGGAATGAGATTCATCCCCGTGCAGAGGGCAAGCATAAAACCTAAGTACCATGTAAGTCCTACTTAAGTCTTAAGGACCTGGTTCTAATTCCACTGAAATAAATAGCAATATTTTCATTGTCTTTCAGTGGGAGCTGTTTCAAGGTCAATAAATGGGATCAGTCCTATACGTGCCTTTTACTGGCCCAATTGGAATGATACTTGAAGGACCTGGGTGTAAAATGCTTGGAAATAAAAAGAGGTGAAATAATACCTTGGTAGTAAGAGCCTTGGTAATTCTGGAGAATTTGCTTAAGGTAGATACTGGAACCAAAACATTCATTTGTTTCAAAGATTCAGGAATGTTAGGTAAATTTATTCTAACCAGGAAGTTGGTCTTACCCAAATCTGACTTGAGGAGTACTGTGCGTACTTCTGCCACATTCTGTGTAATATAATGCATAATACTGAGAAATAGTCAAATCTATTTAGTATTATTATTATTATTATTATTATTTCTGCAGTACTAAGAGAATTTTGAATATCTTAGAGTACTAAAACATCACGCGCTCTGCCCTGGCAGCATTTACAGGGTTTCTGCATGTTTTTCTGCTGCATCATCTACTCTTGCTAGGTAACACAATGGCATCCGTTTATGCATCTAAAAAGTGCTTGCACAGAAACTTGTTTATATTTCATAAATTCCAAGTGTTTCACAGCTGATTTCCCATTCCAGATGAGAAAGCTTTAGATAAGACCACGTTCACAACACAAGGCAATGGAGAACCCTGCGCTCAGACTTTGTGCATCCTACAGGGACTCCTGGCCACAGCAGTGTTATTTCACTTCCCAGCTTGTATAGAGAAATAAATATATATTGGACTCCTCCTAGAATAACCTTACACCCAACTGCCAACTTTGTGAGTGTAAAAATAGTGTGTGCGTGCTCAGTAAGTGATTTTCAGAGTCCTTCCATAAATGAAATCCAGATTCCTCAGAACTAAGCAGAGGTGGAAGGCTAGACCTATGGCACATATTTGTTTTTAACCTTGCCTGTTTCAACAGCAGGCCAACTCAAAGAAGCACAGAATAGATTTTCTTCTAACAGAAAAAAAAATCTCTAGTTTTTTATTATTTCACATGAAAAACAGATTATTTGCCCCCTGGACAAACTTAAAAAATGAAGAACTTCAGAGACCGTACATGAAGAATTTCACCCCCACATGTCCAGTTGAGGAGGTTACTCCTGAAAACCTTGCGTTTGTTGAACTCAGTGAAGAAAGATGCCAACTCCTCTGGTGAAACACCAACTACTATTTTGCAGCTTCTGCGGAGGTGGGTAATGGGCCTGCAAAATAGCCTCTCTGTTCTCCTGGAGATAAGTCTGTTGTGACAAATACAGCAAGCAGTGGCACAAATCAGAGGAGACCATAGTGGTTTTTTCCCCCAGAGCCTTTATTGCCATGGAAAATCTACCACTAGAATACAGCTCCCTCCAAGATCCAGGGTAGCAACACATTTTAGAGGAGTACACAGGGGAACAGTGACTGAGGCCATCAGGAAAATCTCCCACTCTGGTGTAGAATAATGCTGGGTCCTGACTGCACACACCAAACAGACAATCCTGACACTTTTGAAGCCCGATCTACCAAACAGTAGATGGGACAAATAAAGTTATATACTGTTTAAATCTGATGGAATAGATTGACTTAGCCTTTCTGCTGCAAATCTATCATTCCCAGTAACATTTAAAATACTGTATAAAATAATCAGGGTAACATGGAGTCATCTTTCAGGGTAACTAAAATCAGAGTTAAAATTCAAAGCTAATAGTGACCACCATTAGAGGTGAACACACAAGATGATTGGCTTGGGATTTAAGAGTGATGACAGGAACAAAAGTTGTTCTGCCTCAGTTTCTCCATCAATAAAATGCTAATAGTGGCATCTCCCCTTTTTCAGGAATTTTTGAAAGATCCACAAATAAGAAGCACTAGTCCAAGAACTACCACCCGTGTTGACAGATGAAATTCATTTGAAATCCTCCTCAAGGATCAATGAAAAGAGAATTCAAAGGAATCAGATCATACGTAGGGGTAATAAGCTTTAAAAACAGCACAACCTGAATACAGATGAGAATCTAATTTAAGTATCAGTGGGGTTCAATGTAAAAACGCATCCACCGTTGGGAACCCATGCAAATAGCCCACCTCTAAGCGGCGCAGACACAGTCTGGCTTGGGCGACATAAAACTGCGCGTGCTGAGAAGAAACGAATGCTTCCCTCCCCAGGGAGCAGCAGGGTAGGGTCTTCACACTGATGTGGGCCTCAGGTAAGGATAACCACCCTGCCACCATCACCCCTAATTTTGCATCCACACCTTTGGCAGTGCTGGTGGCCTGAAAGCACCTCAGTGTGGGTACAGCTGGGGTACCTCCTGCCCAGGCACACCTGGGGGACACCTGCCACCTCAGGTGGGTTTTTTTTGATTGTTTTCACCTCGGCAGAGCCCTCCCTTGAGGCTGGGCCTGTGCGGACACCCTACAGCCTCCTTCTTCTTCTGAGGTGCTGACTCTGGCCTCAGCAGGGGGAAGCAGCCACCTCCCGGGGCCCGCAGGGAAAACGGGGCAGCGCTTGTGCCCAGCAGCAGCCACCCCATCAGGGAAAACCTCCTCCACACACCCGCCTTTTCAACA